GAAATTAAAACCCTCATTTAGCTGAGTGTGGTGGTTCATTCAGACTGGTAACCCTAAATTTGGGAGGTGGAGGTGGGAGAATCAGGTGATCATCCTTGGTTATGTAGTCAGTTTAAGGCCAGCCTGGACTACATGAAATCCTGTAATTAAAGGGTGTGTATGTATGTGCAGTGTGGCACTGAACTCATGGCTCAGTGGTTAAGAATACCTGCTGTTGTTGCAGAGGACCCGGGTTCAGTTCCCAGCATCCATACAGCAAAGCAGCTCACAACTACCTATATAATTCTAGTTCCAGTGCATTTGATGCCCTCTTCTGACCTCCACAAGTACTCAGCATGCAGGTAGTACATATACATACATGCAGATAAAACATTCATATACATAAAATAAAAATAAATGTGTTTTAAAAGAAAAAAAAAGGAGCTGACAAGATGCCTCAGCAGGTAAAGATGCTTGCCAGGTAATCTTAGGGACCTGAGTTTGAGCCCCAGAACCCACATAAGAAGTAGAGAACTGACTCCACAAAGTTGTTCTGACCTGTGTTTGGGGATGATATACTGAGATTAAAGTACCACCACACCTGGCCCAGAAACAGTGACTTCTGTCAGAGTACAAATTACTGGCCTGCCGTTATTGACAGTTTTGTGAATGAGCATTAACAAACAGTCCCTTTCAATGATTTCATGTTTCTGAAAAACTGAAATGGGCAGTTGCTGTGTTAAAAAAAAAACAAGGAATTTTCTAGGCATGTTAGCACATGTTTATAATCCCAGCACTTGGAAGGTGGAGATAGGAGATCAGGCATTCAAGGCCAATTGAGGCTACATGAGGTCCTATCTAAAATACAAAGCAAGTACTTCCTGAAAATTATGATGGATAGAATATAGTCATGGTGTTGAGACTAAATGATAGTCTGGGAGACATGCAGTTCTCAGGGGTACTAAGTTTGTAGCACCTAAGTCATAAATTGGTAGCACCTAAGTCATCATGAAGTTGTTTGGTCCTAACCGCACACAAAATTGGAACTGGGAAATGTTTGTTTTGGTATAGGCACCATGAAACATCACTGTTGAACAACAGTGAGAGCCTCTGCCCTAGAGCTTGTTTCTGATTATTATAATCACCTTTGCCATGCATTTAACTAGTGTTTATCCTTCAACATTGTCAATTTTCTATTTTACAAATATTAAAATGAGCCAGTGTATGTTAAGCAGTATTTTGAGATGTTCATAAATACTAACTCAATAAGTCATTTGTTTTGCTTTAAAAGAGTATACCTAGTAAAATGGTTTAGCAGTGTGAAATCTGAACATTGTGTAAACTAGTCCCCAGAACATTCCCATCATTTCAAACCAGAATTTCATCCCCTATAGCCACTAATTCCCTCTTGCCTCCTTCCAGCCCTTTTTCTTTCTACCTGTCACTCTATCTGTTCTGGGATCACAAGGTGGGATCCTTGCTCTATATTTATCCCTGTATCTGATCATTTTGAATTTCTTCCCCCTTATAAGGCCAAACACTGCTTCTCAAATGTGATATCACATTTGGTTCATCTGTTTCATCTGGACACTTGGGCTGTTTCAACCTTTTGGTTATTGTGTGAATAAAGCTACTACAATTAAAATGAGTGCAACAACATTTTACCAGTGTGAAGTCTGAGATACCAAGATTTAATCAACTTGCCTAGTACCAGAGGAGGTGGTGGAAATGAGCCTTGAAGCCTAGCTCTGGATTGTGAGTTCCAGGACATTGGCTCTTCTGACAGGCAGAGAACACAAATCCTGCATATGGAGCTCTCACACACAATGCCTCAGACATGTTCCTAGAGAGGCTCTGCCTCGGTGGGCAGAAGGTGCTCAGTAGTCTCACTTCAGCTTTTCTGGGAACGGCCAACTGTCAGAAGAATGAGTAGCTTCATTGGAGTCTAGTACTACACTAACAGTTTGAAGATAAGTGTTGCAGAGCTCTTAGTGCCAATGGAACAGAATCTCACTGCTTCACATCATCCTTAAGAGGGAGGAAGTCACAGGAGGATCTGTATAGCAGAGTGTCACTTACATTACTTCATGGTAGACAGTCCAACTGTCAGTGGAGGCACAGAGTTGGACAGTCAGGGTGAAGTCTGTAGCAGCTACGGCTAGAGTTTGCTGAGGAATGAGGAAGAACAGCATATGTTGGAGAGGGTCAGTGACTACAGCTGCCTCTAATCTATAATGTTTCATTTCATTCTCCTTTGTAATACTGCAATACTTTGCTTCTTAATTTATGTGGTGGGTAGTAACAATTGTTATATTTTTGGTATTTTGTGTAAGGTTTTAAAGGGTCAGTGGATAGCATATGATTTATGTGTACATATGAACTATTTTTTATACAGCCATCTGAGAGCATTGCAAAACATTTCCCTGTGGAAGTGTGCTGTGAGTTGTGCTGGTGAACAAGGAAGAATTGCTGAAACCTGCCCCAGTATCCTTTTCATTCCCAGCTCATTCCTGAAGCCTGATTTTGGATTTGTTGCCTGTGCCTGACACCATTGGTTATGTGTCCTTGTTGGGGCATACAGCTCAGTTAAGTACATTCCCAGATATTTTGCCTGCAAGTATAGTTAATGAGTGTGAAAATTTTTCTTACACTTTAATACAGTCTGGTGCTGAGGAGGAGGCTTTTTTTTTTTTTATTTTAAGATAGGGTCTTACTTGGTAGTTATGCTAGCTTTGAATTCACTATGTACCTGAAGGTGGCCTTGAACTCATGTTTGTTCTCCTGTCTCAGCTTTGCCCAAGTGCTGGTATTACAGTATGAGTCATCATGCTTAGCTCTGAGAGTGGCCCCCTAGCAAGGGGATAGACTTGGTTAGCATTTCCTCTGTTGTATTGATCTCTGGTCATTCCTCAGTACAGGTGGGATGCCCAGGGTTCCATCAGTTGTCTTTCAAGTGTGAAGGAAGTTATCCAGTAAGGCTGAGAGCTGACTGGATGTGGTCACATGTAGCAAGTTGGCAGGTTTAGGTTTGCAGACTGTGTGCCTGCCTTTCTTCCCTGCCCTGTGCTCCTTGTGGAGTTCCCTACCTGTTTCCTCCTGAGAGTGATTCATTTCTAGCCAAAGGCCTGGAGTGATAAAACCGGCTCTCCATGTTTGTAGGTTTTTTTGTTTGTTTGTTTGTTTTTTGTTTTTGTTTTGCTGTTGTATATTTTTGAGATAGTGTCTCACACTGTAGCTCAGGCTGGTCTTGAAATTGCTTCAGCCCCTCTGCCACAGCTGCCTTGTTTCCATGTTTCTTATATGTTTAATGTTTCTACTTGTATCGTGGGATGTATCCAATTGGACTTTCAATGGAGGCTGGCAAGTTGATTGTCTCCTGCTTCTCTATACAAGTGACAGTTGTGTCTTTGATTTCCTTCTGTGGAAAAGGTGAATCAGCAGCTGGGTGTGGAGTGCATGCCTGTTATCCTAGTACTAAACAAAGACAGGAGGGTCATGAATTTAAGGTAATCCGCAGCTTCATAGTGAGTTAAGGCCAGCCTTAACTACATGAGAGCCTGCCTCAAAAACAAACAAACAAATAAATAGGTAAAATTCAGCTGCAGCTGCTGTTCCCAGCTGTGGGTCTCTTCCTCCCTGGGTGAATGCATTCTGTCTCTTATGAAAGGTTCCTTCTCTCAGCAGCGTGTTTGTGTGTCTTCAGCTTCTCTCAGAGACTCTACTGGAGCACAGTTGGACCCCAACGTGCTTCTCCCTTCCCCCACTGCCCTCTTGTCTTTCCCTTTTCCCTGCTGTTCTTCCCAGTGGCTCATTTAACACCTGTTCTGTCTAATGGCTATCTCAAACAACAGTGAGGCTATCTCCTCCAGTGAGACCTCTCCAGCCCACTTGTACCATTTCTTTTTTAATATTTTTCTCAAAGATTTATTATGTATACAGTGTTTTGCCTACATGTATGCCTGCAGGCCAGAAGAGGGCACCAGATCTCATTACAGATGGTTGTGTGATGAGAGATGTCATTCTATAAATATGTCTCTCTTATTGGCTGATGAATAAAGCACAGTTGGCCAATACAGATGCAAGATAGGTGGGACTAGGAATCGAGGAGGATTCTGGGAAACATAGTAAAGAGGATAGTCACCATGTAATCCCAGGAGGAGAAAATGAAACTCTGGCATTCTCGGTAAGTTAAGATTTTATAAAAATATATATTATTAATTATGGGTTAATAATTAAGTCAGAGCTAGCCATTAAGAAACCATAACAAATGACTCCAACAGTTTCATAATTAACATAGTGTCTCATGTGTTCTTTGGGGGCTAAAGTGACAACGGGACCCAGACAGGAATCCCGTAACAGTTATAAGCCACCATGTGCTTGCTGGGAATTGAACTCAGGACCTCTGGAAGAGCAGCCAGTGCTCTTAACCACTGAGCCATCTCTCCAGCCCACCTTAATATTTTTTGAATTTATCTTTTACATTTTAATCCCAGTTTCTCCTCCCTCCTCTCCTCCCAATTCCCCCACTTTCCCACACAAACATCGAATCTGCTCCTCAGAGAGGGTAAGGCCTCCCCTAAGGAGTCTACTAAGTTTGTCTCATTATCTCGTTGAGACAGAACCAATGCAAACCCCTCCCCACTGTGTCTAGGTGGAGCAAGGTATCTCTCCATGTAGAATGGGCTCCACTGAGTCAGTTTGTGCATTAGAGTTAGATCTTGGACCCACTGCCATTGGCCTCATATATTGCCCCAGCTGCACCATTGTCACCTATATTCAGGGAATCTTATGCAGGTTCTGCAGTTGTCATACCTGAGTCAGTGATCTCCCATCATGATCTTGGCTCCTTTGTTCATATTATCATTCCTCCCTCACTTCGATTGTACTCCAGGAGCTTGGACTAATAGTTGTGGATTTCTACATCTGCTTCCATCTGTTTCTAGAGAGGGTTCTAGCTTCTCTGGGGTTGTGCATTGTAGGCTGGGGCATCTTGGTTTTATTTTGTTTTTTTTTTTTCAAAATACATGAAAAGGCTTTATTTGCAGGGGAGCAGGAATTTAATCAAACAAGCCAAATCCCATGTTATCATCTGACTCTTCGGACTCTTCCTTCTTCTCCTCTTTCTTCTCTGCTGCATCGGGGGCAGAACTTGCAGCAGGAGCTGCAGAGCCAGGGGCAGCAGAAACAGCCACAGCCCCACCAGCAGGCACACTAGCAAGTTTGCTAACACCCTGGGCGATGACATCCTCAATGTTTTTTCCATTCAGCTCACTGATTACCTTGTTGAGCCGGTCATTGTCCGCCTCAATGCCCACACAGTCTAGTATCTTCTTAATGTCTTTGGTGCTGGGAGAGGAGTTGCCCCCAAGGGCGGCAAGCAGGTAAGAGGCGACGTAGCTAATGCTGAAAGGGACAGAGAGAGGATACGGCGGTGGCGTTACCCAAGGGGCCTTCTGCTTACTCCTCCATTTTAGCCAACAAGTGAGGCCACGTGTGGGCTGAAGCTTCCGTCCATGCGAGGCTGTGCACCCCTCAACTCCTGGCCGCCAACCCGCCCTTCAGTCCCGACTGGGGTATCTTGTTTTATGTCTGGTATCCACTTATGAGTGTGTAAATACTATTATTTGTCTTTGTGGGTCTGGGTTATCTTGTTTCTAGTTATTTGCCTGCAAATTTTAATATGTCATAGTTTCTCGCCGCTGAGTGGTACTCCATTGTGTAAATGTACCACCATGTACCATAATTTCTCCATCCAGTAAACAGCAGTACCATGTGCCTGGCCAGCTCTGTCTCTGTTTTCCTCATCCCCTATGTCTCGCAAATACAGTGCTGGCTCTGCTCTCAGCTTGGGGTACTCAGCCTGATACTTCTTCTGCTCTCATGCTGAGGTGGGTTCCAAGCTTGCTATGGGGGCTGTGCTTGCCAGTTTTATGTCAACTTGATTTAGCTAGAGGCATATGAGAGGATGGCACCTCAGTTGGAAAAATGCCTCCATAAGATCAGTTTGTAGGAAGGGCCTATAGGGCATTTTCTTATTGATTGATGGGTGAGGGCCCAGCTAGTTATGGGTGGTGTCCACCCCTGGGCCCTGGGTTCTGTAAGAAAGCAGGCTGAACAAGCCATTAGCAAGCCAGTAAACAACATTCCTCCATGGACTCTGCATCAGCTCCTGCCTCCAGGTTCCTATCCAGTTTTTGTTTTGGCTTCCCTCAGTGAACTGTGGCTAAGGGTATGTAAGACAAATAAACCCTTTCCTCCTCAAGTTACTGTTGGTCATGGTGTTTCATCACAGCAGTAGTAACCATAACTAAGACAGGGTACTTGTCTGTTTTGTTCCCCTACAGTCCTCAGCTCAACTTGACAGCAGAGTGACTTTCCAGAGTCTGTTCTAGCGTCTCTAGTAGTTTCCATTTCTGGCAGACTAACAGGTTTTGAAGCAGCCTGGAGGTCCTTCGTGATGTGGTCTGGCCATCAAGGCCTAGGATGGTGGTTATCAACTTATAGGTTGTGACCCCTTTGGCAAACCTCTGTCTTCAAAAATATTTACATTATGATTCATAACTAGTAAAATTACAGTTATGAAGTAGCAGCAAAAATAATTTTATGGTTGGGGTCACTACAACACGAGGAACTATATTGAAGTCGAAGCATTAGGAAGGTTGGCCCTTGATAACTATTTGTAGAGTAACCATGGTAACACACACACTTATCTGGTGGGAATGTTAGGCCTTCAGTTAGTTGGTCTGGGACTGTGTTATACTCTGACTCCCTTGACAGCATGGCTGTTGGTCCTTAAGCCATCATGCGTTGCAGACTTTGAGTTCTCAGGTGGTTCTCAGCTCTTGCCTGTATTGCTGCTATCCTTGTATTCTCTTCTAGGCTGGTGCTGCTTAGTTCTGTGGATTTGGGACTGGTGCTCTCGAGAGAAGGGTGGGTGTATGCACAGGCATGCATGCTTGTGGCTTAAAGGCAGTGTTGAAGGCAAGGGCTGTTGCTGTCTGTCACTGTCTTTTTTCTTTTTTGTCAGCCCTACAGAAATTTGATTATGACACTTTATTCTCCTTTGGTTATAGATGCTTGTCTCACATTTTGACACATGAAAATGAGTATTTTAGCTTTTGAATGAACCAGGGTAATAGTGTTTCTTTGTTTTAGTTTTACAGTGCTAGGGTTGGAACTCAGGACTCTGGGCATATAGAGAAGCATTCCACCACTGAGCTATATCCAGTCTAAAAAAGTTTCAGACTAGACAATGAGAATTTAAAAATACCCACTCCTGTCAGGCAGTAGTGGTGCACACCTTTAATCCCAGCATTTGGGAGGCAGAGGCAGGGTGATCTCTGAGTTCAAAGCCAGCCTGATTTACAGAGTGAGTTCCAAAGCTGCAGAGAAACCCTGTCTCAAGAACAAAACAAACACACACAACACAAAAAATTCCTATTTCAAAATTAGAATGCTACTAATTCTCTGTCTTTGGGGAGGTCTTTTAAAATTACTTTTTCTTAAAATGTATTAGATATTCGAGTTGTAAATTTGTCCAAAAACTTGTTGTCATCTTGGAATGAAGTGATTCTTATTGCAGAGCAGCTCAACAACCTGGAGTCACTGGATCTCAGGTATGGACTCCACACTGCCTTCTCTGACAGTTAGCAGATACTTACGGGAGACTTCGGCTCAATGGACTTTGCTAAAAGTTCACTTCAGGGCAGTCTTCAAATGGTCCCTTGAAGTTCATGACTAAGGAGTATATCTGTGTGCCTATCAGGTGGGAGGAAGCAGATCTTAATAGCTTATAAGTCTGACCATGAAAGAGTGTGCTCTCAGCAGAGGAGGAGAGGGGTTAATGCTACACAAACTTGTTTATTTGGAATTGGTGTTTAATTCTTTAGGAATAAGTAGTTCATTGGGACATTACATAATGTAGTTTTAATAAAGATTTTTAGCTTCTTTGTTTACTCAGGTTACATTTTCTGAGGCCTTCCTAAATATTTTATTAGTTTAATCTTACAACCTCACTTTCCAAGGGCTCAACTAGGCTGGTCCATTCTTCCTTCCTCCCCTTCCTTCTGAATGTGCTTCATAAGCCCTCTACCACTGAACACACCCCAACCCTTTTCCCCTTCATTCCTAAGTGCTTCACAAATGCCGGTAAGCCTTATTAGGCTAAATCAGATGCAGTAGAGCAGGCAGTCAAGCTTGAAGGTACCTCAAATAGAGCACATGGGTATAATTTAACCCTTAGTGTCTCCTCTTCTGAAATATGGGAGCCCAAGTCAACTTCACTTGTATGAGGAAACATGAAACTTCACCTACCCCTATGAGAAATAACCCCTCTCAAATCTTCAGGTTAAACCCCAGATTGGGTTGGCTCGGCCATGTAGGAGTAAGTACTTCATATCTCCTTTTTCTTCTCAGTGAAAATAAACTGCAGTTTCCTTCTGACTCACCAACTCCATCTGGAACATTTTCTAATCTGAAGATTTTAGTCCTAAATAAAATTGGAATAACGTGGGCTGAGGTAATCATATTTGCTTTATTACATAGTAATAAGTGACTTTAATTTTTGCTTTAAAAGGGAATTGGAGATGAACTGGTTTCATTTCAGTCGCCCTATTATCCAAGTAGAATGTTCTACACTTCATTACAGTGACGAGTAGATCTGGTAATCCATGTTCTTTCTCAGCCTGTCCCTGTTTCATAGCTCCTTTGTATTGCTCTGCAGTCTTGAACATGGATGCTCACAGTGGCATACACCAAATATGTGAAGTTTTAAAAGCCATAATGCTGGCTCCTCCAGGTTCCCTGCAGATGTTCTTAGGGCAGAGCATGAAGAGTCATCTCCCTGTATGCAGGCTTGTCCCCACAATCTGCTGTCCTGGTATGGTTGACTCATGAGTAGCCACAGGTATCCTTAGTATGGTGACATTTGGTACATCTGTTTCTGTCTTTTTCTTGGGCCTCCCAATTTTGGCAGATCTCCTTCCTTCTTCTGGTGCATTCTAAGACTGAGACAGAAAAGTCCTTAGTAGTGGGGGTGGCAGCGAGGCTCAAGGGAAAAAAACTTAAGAACTGATGAGGAGATATTTATGTGCTCAGCACATCCTTCACGTGCCCAAGTGGTATCAGAACTAAAAAGGTGAGTACCACATCCTGCCCTAGACTTAGACCACTAGCTATTTGGATGTCCATCAGCATTCCCAGCTCCTTGTGAGCACTTCCGGGTTAATAGTGCCAGAAACATGTCTTTCTATAGCCTTTCAATGTGATCTTTCATCCTCCTGCACCACCACTTGGTGCCTGAGTACAGCTTGCATGACCTGTTCACAAGGAATGGAGTTCCCATGGTGATGTGACTGAGCATGGTCAGGGCCAGCAGAGGCTTCCAGACACTGAGTTCAGTTTCCTTTTCAGGTGCTGCGCTTTGCTGCTTCGTGGCCAGTCCTCGAGGAACTTTACCTCAAATCTAACAGTATATCCATTTCCGAAAGGTAAAGGGCTTTGCTTCAGTGATTCTATTACTATTCAGTTATTCTGAATAAAGTCTCAGTTAAGTCCAGCATGCAAACATGTGTAGTAGTAGTACTTTCTCATTGTATTACAGATTAAATTGTCAACTGAAATGTTATTCAAACCAAAGGAAACGCATCAAAAACTCTGAATTATTTGAATTATATTAGCTTTGTATAAATGTCTTGGATTCTCAGAGACAACCAAATTAGATATTAGAATTTATTAGTTTTGCATACATGTATTAAATTCTCTAATTCTCGGAGTACAGTCTTTTTTCCCCCTTGGGTTTTTTTTTGAGACAGGGCACCTTAGCAAGACCCTGTCTTATAAACCGAGGACTAAGGAATGAGTGGTAGAGCACTTGGCCTAGCATATGCAAAGCCCCGGGTTCATGTGTATGAGTATTTGCCTGAATGGATCTATGTACCACATATGTACAGTGCTCAAGGAGGCACTCGTGTCTAATCCTCTAGGACTGGAGTGAGAGGGTTTAAGTTGCTATGTGGGTGCTGGGGATTGAATCTCAGTTCTCTGGAAGAGCAGTCAATGCTCTGAACTATCCCTCTAACTCCTAAGTTCATTCTTTACTATTGCAAAAATTTTAAAATAAGTAAATGAATTTTCTCCTTTTATAATTTATTATTGTATGTATGTATGTGTATGTGGTGTTTTATGTGTGAATTCAGGGGCATATAGGCATATAGGTCTTTGGGGTTCTGTCTTTCTATCGTAGGCTCCAAGGATTGAATTCAAGCTGGCAGACTTGTGCAGCAAGCACTGTTATTCACTGAGCCATCTTGTTAGTCCTATTTGTGTTGAGATGAGGTCTCATACTGCCCAAGTTGACCTCAAACTAGTTATGTGCCAAGTATGACCTCTAGCTTCTGATCTACCTCCACCTCCCACTACTGGGAAGACAGGTGTGGGCAGCTGTGTCTAGGAAATGAAGGATCTTTCATTAGTAGTATCTGCTATAGTGTATGGACTCATGTTCTCCTAAATAAATATATTGCTGCTTTGTCTACCTTTAGAAAAATAGTATTTTCTCTTTTTAAAAAATTGCATATCTGTCTGTGTGAGAATATGCAGATAACTGAGGAAGCCAGAAAAGGGTGTCAGGTTTCCTGGAGCTGAAGTTACAGGCAGTTGAAAGCTGTTTGGCATAGGTGCTAAGAACAGAACTTGCAAGAGCAGCAAATGCTCTTAAATACTAAGTCATATTTCTAAGCCCTTATCTCCCTCTTTTGAAATAAGTTGGTTTGGTTTTATTTAGACTGTGTGACTTGAGTGTGCTCGTGGGGGTGAGAGAACTGTGAGGTCAGGTCTCTCCTTCCACCATGTTTTATTTGTTATTTATTTAGGCTGTGACTGGAGTGTGCATGCTCGTGGGGGTGAGAGAACTGTGAGGTCAGGTCTCTCCTTCCACCATGTTTTATTTGTTATTTATTTAGGCTGTGACTGGAGTGTGCATGCACATGGGGGTGAGAGAAGAATTGTGAGATCAGATCTCTCCTTCCACCATGTGGGTTTTGGGGTTGCAATGAAAGTCATCAGGCTTGGTGGCTAGTGTCTTTACCCACTGAGTCAGGTCTCTGGCCCATCATCTCCCCTTTTTAGACAACATCATTAAATAAGTGTGCAAACGAAAGTCAAGGATGGGAAAGTTTTGAGTTGGTTCTGACTCTAAAGACTATATATAGAATGGTTTAATTTGTGGAGGCAAGTGCAGCCATTTTTTTCTTCCATTATTACAGGCAGTATAGGGACCCTGACTCTGCCAGCATTTCAAAACAGCATCCCTTCCTTGGGTTGGCGTTTTTTGGGACCAAATCCATCCTTACCCCTTGTAATACTTGTAACACTTATTTTAAGCCTCTGACTTTGAAAATAAGAGATTAGTCCATATTGAAAATTTGTACTTTCCATACAGGCCAGTGAATGTTCTGCAGAAATTGACATTACTAGACCTTTCCTCTAACCCAGCCATTGATGAAAGCCAGCTGTACCTCATAGCATACCTGCCCAGGTAATCCCTTAAAGTTTGCCTGTTGAAGATCCATGTTGTTTTATCTTTTTTCGTTTTGATTTTTTTGTTTTGTTTTTCAAAACAAGGTTTCTTAAAACCTTTAACTCAAAGGACTCCACCTGCCTCTGCCTCCCAAGTGCTGGGATTAAAAGTGTGTGCCACCACTGCCTGTAGACCCATATCATTTTTAGTGAATGAACTGTCATATGTTAAATACACCTTTTGAATAGATACAAAATGTAGTTCCTAAACTGGGCAAGTCCCTTGGGGGATTCTAGAGAATGTACTTGTCCTTCATGTGTTATGTGGACTAGGAATCAGATAATCTGTAGCTGTAAACTTGGTCCTAGTGGTGACACCTACATCTGCATTTGTCTTGGGGAAGTGAGACCATGTACCTCTTTTGAGACCCACTTAG